TCGCTGAAAATCAATAGGCTTCTTCGTCTCATGGCCTTAAACACTGTGTATAAATTTAAAGTCAATTGGATATTAACTTTAGCCTATAGAGTGTCCACAAGCAATTGTGGACGCCGGACAGACGGACGGGGGCGACAACAATACATGTATACGACCACATTTCAATGTGGTCGTATAAAAAGGTGATTTTTCGTACAATCAGGGGCCATAATTCAGGATGTTACGATTCGATATTCGCAAATATTGAAAGGAACCAAGATCTTTGGGTTATAAACATGCATTTCAAGTTTCATCAAAATCGGATTAAAATTGTGACCTCTACAGCGTCCATAACCTTGATTTACTAGATGTTTACACTATATGCGTAAGAGGGGCGGCCATTTTATCCAGCAGTTTTGGCCGGATTTACATGAAATTCGAAGTCAATAAACATTACGGTGTAATGGTGATATATTCGAACGTTTTTTTAAATCGAATAATAATTGTGACCTCTAGAGGGACCACAAGCTAAAAACGTGATTTTTCGTTCAACCAAAGGCCACAATTCAGGAAGTGGAAGTTACGTTCTGATATGCGCGAATATTGAAAGGAACCGAGATCTTTGGGTTATAAACTTTCATTTCAAGTTTCGTCGAAATCGGATCAAAATTGTGGCCTCTAGAGGGTCCACAACTTTGAAATACCAGATGTTTACACTATTTGCGTAAGAGGGACGGCCATTTTGTCTGGCAATTTTGGTCCGATTTTCATGAAACTCATCCTGAGACAAAATTACTGTGTAACAATGATATATTCGAACGTTTTTTTAAATCGGATAATAATTGTGACCTCTAGAGAGACCACAAGCTAAAAACGTGATTTTTCGTAAAATCAGGGGCCATAATTCGGGAAGTTACGATTCGATATGCACTAAAATAGAAAGGAACCAAGATATTTGGGTTATAAACATGCATTTCAAATTTCATCAAAATCAGATGACAATTGTGACCTCCAAAGGGTCCACAACCCTGATACACAATATTTTGACACTATTTGCGAATGAGGGGCAGCCATTTTGTCCTTCAGTTTCGGTCCGATTTTTACAAAATTCAAACTCAACCATCCTTTGGGTTTAACGGTGATATATTCAAATGTTTTTTTAAATCGGATAAAAATTGTGACCTCTATGGGGTCCACAAGCTAAAAACGCGATTTTTCATACAATCAGGGAGTTATGGTTCGATATGCGCGAATATCGAAAGGAACCGAGATCTGTAGGTTATAAACATGCATTTCAAGTTTCATCAAAATCATATGAAAATTGTGACATCCAGCGGGTCCACAACCCTGATTGGCAATATTTTGACACTATTTGCGAACGAGGGGCGGCCATTTTGTCCGTCAGTTTCGGTCCGATTTTTACGAAAAATCAAGCTCAACCATCCTTAGGGTGTAACGGTGATATATTCAGGAAGTTATGCTCCGATATGCCTGTATATCGACAGGAACCGAGATCTGTGGGTTATAAACATACATTCAAAGTTTAAACCAAATCGGATAAAAATTGTGACCTCTACAGTGTTCACAAGCTAAAAACACGATTTTTCGTACAATTTGGGGCCATAATCCATGAAGTGACGGTCCGATACATGCCAATATTGAAAGGAACCGAGATCTTAGGGAGATAAACCTACATGTATATTTCAAGTTTCGTTGAAATCGGATAAGAATTGTGACCTATAGAGTGTTCACAAACAATTGTGGACCGACGTCCGGACGGACAGGGACAACGACAATATACGTACACATGAAAATGTGGGCGTATAAAAATGTGGGGCTTATCGGGCGCATGATTTCACAGAAGTCATGGTCATCCAGCGAATTAGTTATTGCATGCTAGCTTGATTCGCCCTTATTGCATAGTAAACCGACTTTTTGTATGGTGACATATTGTATGCCAGCTTGATCTCTGTCTCTTCTACAGACGTTGACCTTGTAGATTAATCACGTAAATTATTAATTTCCCCCCTAGTCCGGACTCTTTTCCGTATGCTAATGAGCTTCGTCGGAGATCCCATATATACTCTTTAAAAAAAAGTAGGTAATATTCAGAAACAATACAAAACTGAGGAAATGAAGACGGGCATACGGCATACAGTGTGCTATGAGGGAAATTTTTCCCGGGCAGCGGCGCAACAGCCTACTCTTATATCGAATTCCAACTACCAAGGGATCTTTTACGTGCACACCAATTTGTACACGGGACCTCGGTTTTTCGTCCCATCCGAACGACTAGACAGCTGTCCTTGTCAGGTCCTCCGTCCTGCATCACTGACAAGGGGAAACCACGCCGGAAAATCTGGATGAACTTTCTCGGCCAATGCAGGGATCGAACACCCGACCTCCAGGCTAGTGAGCGAGCGTCTTACCCACTTAGCCACGTGATCCCTGTTTTTATTAGAGGTAACCAGTGTATGTTAATAACAGGCCAATTGCCTACACATGAACAGAAACAGTTCATATGGGCGGTTTATCTGACGGCCCCATTTCACTCGCAAAGAGACACACCATCAAAAGTGAAAATGGCCATTTTTGATTTTTGTCTTAATAATAAGTAATTGCTCCACCAATCCTCAGACATTCAGCAATTCATCGTGGCATGCTCTTTATCAACCGTCCAATCACGGTTTGGGGCAATCTGACCCACTCCTCTTGCAGTGCCACGGCCAATTCTTGCAGTGTTGTCGGTTGACGTTGACAAACACGTCTCGCAATCAAATTAAACGTAACACAAAGCAAAGATACGCTAAACAGTAAATCTTATGCAAGAACCGATAGGAATGCTAATATGGATAGATAAACCAGCATGCGTCAATTTTCATCAACCCTTCCTCGAAGTGTCAAATTTGATAATAAACCCCTCCCACGTGTATGGCGCTATTGCGTGTCGCATGTGCAGCTCAGTGGTTCTGTTGGGGCGATAAGTTCTTCATCTGTGAACATACTCTCAAAGCATTGTCAAGTGTCCATGACTATTGATCATATCACAACCTGCATAGGTATTTGCATTTCAATATCCCCTACTTTTTTTGAAGAGTATATAGGGTATATGTTCTAATATGCTAAGTTCTATTATGCATTTGTCTATAATGCAAGATGCAGAATGGAGAAGTGTAATGTGCAAAATAACTATTATAGTTGTTTATACTGTATTTTGTATTATTGAAAGGTGTATTCTATATTTTAAGACTGTAACTTTGGTATTGTGGAGCAATGGTAATTGCAAATTGTAAAACCAATATACATATTTTGAACTGCTGACATATGCATTTTGTACAGTGAACAATGAAATAATATTGGCAACGTTATCCTTCCATAATCCCAACGTGGACACGAGGTCAGATTAAAGTAGCTAAGTCTCCAACTCAATATCATCCAAAGTCTTCGACATTGAAAACACAAATAATTTGTCAATTTAAATTAACACTGATGTTGTGATCTTACCGGGAAAAGATGGGCTTCTGATATCCAATATTTAAGACAAAATAAACAGGCCCATTTTTAACTAGGGATCCGAAGAACGAGGCTAGACATATTCCAGAAGTCATGTCAAACGGTGACGGCATATTCATATCTGGAGAGTATGCGCAATAAATACTATGTAGACTACATGTACAATAACCAGACACTAGAGATTGTCATTCGATTGAGACTTCTGGCGTATTTCGCCGAACATAACTGATTTGAAATTAGAGTAAAAATGGAAACGATTTGAATGTAAATCAGTTTATATACCGGTACATTCATGTTACATTATCATATGCGTTTTGCGTTGCGACCCATTTGTGTTAATTTCTAGGTCGCAAATATTAGCGATTTAGCTCCTTTAATAATGATAAAAAAAAGAGGTGTCGTCTGCCAAACAGCACCGATAGTTTACTTTCATATTGAAAGAGGTCGCGGTCTTTCATTTCACAGTTCCACACGTCATGATGAATGAAACAAATCAAATGGTTGTTGCTACCAGACGGACAGTAAATTTAATAAGTTTGTTAATCTATATTTTGTAAGACCTTAAACGCCAGTTTCGTTTCATTTCATTTCATTTATATGCACAATATTTTGCATTCATTTTCGGAGAATATGAAGGCCATTTTAATCTTCAGATTTCTATGTGAATGGAATTTCGAGATACGTTGTCAGTACAAAGTAGACCTACATAATAATCACTAACATTATTACAAGTGAATATTTATTATTACAGAAAAAATAAATATCAAGCCTGGGGTGGAATGATTTTTTCTTTCTTACGCAAAGTATAAACATTAAATCCTTCAAAAGTTAAAATTTTAATGTGAACAGTCAATCAATATATTGAATACATATTTTAACTTACTTTTAAACGTGTCCCAAATGGCTGTAGAAGACACTTACGGAACTTAGAACTAGAAGTTCAAGGCATTTGGGGTGGGGTAGTGTACGTGTGTTTTGTTAATATTTATTGGGCCCACAAGTTAATGTTAGGACCCACAACTTTCATGAATGGCGTATACCACCGGGTCCTGTTGGCTTACAACTTTTCTTGCCGAATTTTAAACACTGATGCCGATACATTTATTAAGCTTTATAATATTTAAAATGTGTTTTCATATGGCTGGTTTGGAGGGATTTTTTGTTGTGTACCTCTGAGCTCACAATCACATTATAATTATATCATGGACCCTTTTTATATCTAATAATGTCGAAGATGTTCATGTTAATATCATCATCATATTCAATTAAAAAATTACATCATGACACTGGAAATAAAATAAATAACCAAATAATTTATAAGTAAGTTTGGTGAAAAAATATCGCCAGAAATCAGACCCTCCATTCAAAATGTGGAAATAACACAGGGGTACATGTAAATTTTGCCTATGCATCATTACATGGTCAGTCATTTATTGAAATTATTGACATGTCTGTCGGTGTCAGTGTTTTCGTCAAAGCAGACAGAATGTGATAAAATTCAAACTTACGTTCCTAATGTTTCTTTAAATTCATATTTTCGTCGTATATCTCCTTCTTTATTATTCTTTTTGTCAGAGTCGTGCTTCTTTCCAAACAGAGGCATTTTCATCGACTTAAAACACTCGTTTCATCCGTCACACCATTGAAATCTTTCGTTTAGGTTTCTGTTCTCCATTCACAGAAATCACGTGACTGATACAGGTGGCGCGTGTGTATTTAAATATGTCACATGAATACGTAATTCCAAGTTAGGCCTATTTACGATTTTGCTTAAAACTGAACGGTTGCCGTTTAACGAAAAGACACAAATTAGAATTTGACAATGAACTATTTTAAACGTCTTATAGGATGGTTTATTTACTAATTTGAAAAAAAGCCCCAAACAATCCTAATCCAAAACGGATAGTCATTGCAAGATGCCCATGGCATGGGCATTAAATCTAGACACGATCGAAGATGAATATAACAAAAGATTAGGAATAGGCTTTTTTGTTGAAATAATAGTTTTTGTTTATTTGAAACCATGGTAACAAAATATCGGTATGCTGCAGTGTTTTCCTAGTTTCAGCATATAGGAGCATGGACCATTTGCCATTAGAAAGTGGAAATAAAATGAAAATGGGTTATAGGCCTCCGTGAGTATATAACGCTAACCGACTGACATTTGGAACAGGGTTTTATCAGTCTGTTGTCCCCTTCAAACTCAGAAATACACGATGGTGCTAAATATTTGGCATATTTATATAGTGATTTTGCAGAATCAGTTTAATACAAAACAGTATGACATACTTTTAAACAAATTTTATTCACTGCTTCTCAAAATCATGGTAACAGACCGACATTCTCGCAACCAAAGGTTGATGGTCCACATATTCAGTGTTGAATTCCTGTGCAGTTTGTAGATTTACAAAATCTTTGTATTTTGGATTGATTTAATAGATGTCCATCCTTTATACAAATGTTAATTTTTTTCACTTCTGGCTATTATTTTCCATATTAGAAGTTAAATTGCCTTTGGTAACAGACTGACATGGTGATCAGTAACAGACTGACGCCTAATTCTGATTTAAGATGATTTTTAAAAATTTGGACGTAGTACCCCTCCGTCTCAACAAGAGTAAGAAAATTGTAAAATGAAAAACAATAATAAAAAAAAGATAAAAAACCCAATAAAAAAATTTAAATAACATTAAAAAATTAAATTTGCCTAAGCCGATTGTATTGCTATCACTCAAGGGTGTGCTGTACAGAACTGATTTCCATTAAATTTTATTTGCATCAGCCTGGTAGTGGTAATGATAAATATACTACTTATTTGTCCTGTTGCTATTAAATCTAGAAATGTTTATTTATATGCGTGGGGGGGGGGGGTGGATAGCTGAATGGTTAGCACGTGCGTGCTGTATCATGAAGTCTGTCATTGAGTCAACTGGTGTGGTTGCGAAAGCCCGGTTGTACGTGACAGGAGTAGGGTCGCCTGTCCAACTTCGTGGGTTTTCTCCGGGTCCTCCGGTTTCCTCCCACTGCCCAAAGACCCCTACGCGCAAGCGAATTATAGAAATAAAATTGAACCATATGTTAGTACCAAAATGACCTAGTTTGTGTCGAGTGGACGTTGAACCCCATTTCTCTCTCTCTATCTCATTTATATGCGTGCACATTAGATGATTAGATCATAAGGTCCATCATTGAGTCAAGTGGCAGTGTTTTGATTTACCGCTTGTACGTAACGAGGAGTAGGGTCTCTTGTCCAACCTAATGTGCCTTTTCTGGTTACCTCCCATGGCTAAAGATCCCTACGTGCACGCGAATTACTGAAAAAGAAATTGAACCATGTTAAGTCCAGAATGCCTAGCACAAGTTGTGTTGAGTGGACGTTGAACCCCATTTCTCTATTTATATGCGCTTTAGATCATAAGGTCAAGTGACATGGTTTCGATTCCCAGCTTGTTTGTAACAAGGAGTAGGGTCGTCTGTATAACCTCTTGTGTTTTCTTTGGGTTCTCCACTTTCCTCCCTCTGCTAAATAAAATCCTAAGCGCAAGCAATCAATTGAAATAAAATTGAAAAATATTAGTCCCAAAATTACTTGGTTGGTTTTGAGTGGGCATTCAATTCCATTTCTCTATCTAGAAGACAACAGGGGTAACAAAAAATAGTGTTATTACCATAATAGGTGTTATTAAATACAAAGGAAAGCAAATAGCATTTCAAAGTTGATTTGTGCCAAGCTGAAAATGGTAAGGATACCTGTTGTAATAAACTTTAATGCTTGAAGCTATGGCCATTACTAGTCCCAGAGGTAGAGCCGGGGTTGGGATGGCCTAGTGGTCCGTAGTGTCGCATTCAAACTCTAGCTAGCTGGTCGCCTGGCTTCCTGTCATGCTTTCGATCCCTAGTGTGAGCGGATGTGGCTTGGTGATGGGGGCGCCTTCTCAAACTCACAGATTTACTCCAGTTTCCTCCCACAAGAAAAACCCCTGTGCGTGTGTTTATCATAATAAAAAAACAAGCCAACAGTGAGGCTGATGTCCCCTGCCGAAATCCCAAAATAAATAGATGACACATATTAATTAATAGCACATTTATCTTTTTCAAAAGTATCGAACAATCAAACTATACACTAAGTTTCATCACTCTCTATCAAATAGAATCAAGATTATCTTGTCCCAAAGCATCGACCAATGAAACTGATTAGCTCTGCTTAGCTTCAGCTCGAAATGTTAATCATTGAACTCAGTCAAGACATTCACCTAATGAACATCTACATTAAGTTTAAACATTCTACCTCAATTAAAAGCAGAGTTGTTATGTTCCAAAGTCTTGACCAATCAAATTGCTTATCGCTCCTTAGCCTAAGCAGAAAATTCTCACCATCGAACATAGTCAAGGTAATGATATAATGAATCTATATTCGGGGTTTCATCACTCTCACTTCATTATAACCAAAGATATCATGCCCCAAAGCATCAGTCAATCAGATTGCTGATCTCTGCTTACCGTAAGCATACCATGTTCATCATCGAACTCCATCAAGGCATTCACCTAATGAAAGCCTACACTAAGTTTGAACATTCTACATCAATTAGAATGAGAGTTATTGTGTTCCAACGTCTCGACCAATCAAATTGCTTATCCCTCTGCTTACCCTAGCAGAAAATGCTCATTATCGAACACAGTCAAGGTATTGATGTAATGAAACTATACACCAAGTTTCATCACTCTCACTTAATAAGAACTAAAGTTATCGTGTCCCAAAGCATCAACCAACCAAATTGCTTATCTCTGCTTACCCTGAGCAGAAAATGCTCATCTTCAAAGCCATCAAGGTATTGACCTAATAAACACCTACACCAAGTTTGAACATTCTAGCTCAATTAGAAGGAGAGTTAATGTGTTCCAAAGTCTCGTCCAATCAAATTGCTTATAGCTCTGCTTACCCCGAGCAGATAATGCTCATTATTGAACTTAGTCACGGTATTGATGTAAGGAAACTGTACACCCAAGTTTCATCACTCTCACGTAATTAGAACTAAAGTTATCGTGTCCCAAAGCATCAACCAATCAAATTGCTTATCTCTGCTTACCCTAAGCAGAAAATGCTCATCTTCGAACTCCATCAAGGCATTGACCTAATAAGAACACCTACACCAAGTTTGAACATTCTAGATCAATTAGAAAGAGAGTTATTGTGTCCCAAAAAGTGTGACAGACAGACAGACGGACGAACCCATTTTAATAGTCCCCAGCTTTCTTCGAAAGGCGGGGGACACAAAATAAGACAACCTGTCTGCTATATCACCCTTGGTGGAAGCTGACATAAACACTAACAGAAGAAGACTAGTCTGAGACCTTATAACCTTTGATTGCCGGCCCTATTGAAAGAAAGAACGCTTTTGGTTTTCATTCAATCAATTACATAATTATGACCCTTTGTTATGTCTGTCATTCACATTGTGTGTCTATACACTAGGGGCCATCAGCAACGCCGGATTAACCATGGTGGGGGCCCTGGGGCCTGGAACATGGGGGGCCCCTGATCACCGAACGTAGAGCTGTGGCCGGGCCGGCCACCGCGAGCGCCAAAGTCGCGAAGCCCCGCAAAGGGTCGGGGGGGGGGGGGGTCTCCCCCCGGGAATTTTTCAGAAATTGGAGGCCGGAAACGTGATTTCCTGGCATTTCAGGCACTTGTGTGGAGCCATTTAGAAGTACCTACCCCAGAAAAAAATAAAATTCTGCCACAAAATTAGCGCATTCTGGCGTTATTTCAGTGGACCAATCAATGCGAGTGCTATGAAATGATGGCATTTCTAGAGGAGGGGGCTGGACGCAACTGAGATTTTTGTGGGGGGCCCTGGGGCCTGTGCCCCATGGTTAATCCGGCGTTGGCCATCAGTGCCATGTTATCCTAAAGGCTTATGCATAGAGGCCCATGCAACCGTGTTAAGCCCACAATTTAGTGTGGATGTACTTCCTGTTAGAATTGCCCAGATATAATGATACCATCAGTCTGTTACAACATTTTTCAGTCTGTTACCATGAGTTAGGGGGAGACATTTAAGTAACCTGCCCTTTTTCTTTTTATATATGTATATAACTGATGAGTTGAATTCAAAGACTATTAACATTTTTGTTGGATTTGACACAAAATACAATAACTGAAGAAATTATTTTGAATATTTAGTAACAGACTGACGTCAGCATAATACCATATATTGATGTTAGATTTTCTACTTGAAATTTTGGTCTATTAACAGCATTCTGATTTTAATTTACAGTAAAATCATTATAGAACACAATTTCAATAATATTTTACATAGTAAATTTAAGAATATGGTAAACTGAGACATTAAAGCGAAATGGTGAAAATGGCAGTGTCCGACTGGGATGTCAGTTATGTATATGATATTAACCTACCCGAGGTTAATATGGTAGAGAACGCGCGGGCTTAAGCCCAATCGTTCTCTACCATATCAATCCGAGGGACAGTAGGTTTATATCCGACATATACAACGCCATTTCACCCTTAAATTTAATGGGCTCTTCCATTAAAAGGCAACAATGATTGGATAATTGCTCGATAGTTTCCGCCAAATAGCGAAAATTACCGAAGTAATCACGTGTAATTACGTGCATGTTTTTGTTTATAAATCGCCATTTTGGGGTATTGAATTGAAAGC